TATATATATATATATATATATATATGACAGAAGTTAAGATTTTAGGTTGCTTTAAATTGACTGAATTTACTTAAAAAAAACTTTTGAACTTTCTATTCATCAAAGAAGCCTGGAAAAAATTTATATATATGAAGCAGCACAATTGTTTTCAATAATAATAATAATAATAAATAAATGTTTCTTGAGCAGAAAATCCACATATTAGAATGATTTCTGAAGAATCATGTCACACTGAAGACTGGAGTAATGATGCTGAAAATTCAGCTTTTCATCACAGAAATAAATTACATTTTAAAACATATTAAAATTGAAAACAGTTCTTTTAAATTGTAATAATATTTTACAATATTGTTGTATTTTTGATCAAATAAATGCAGCCTTGGTGATCATGAGACATAAAAAAAATCTTACCAAACTTTTGACCAGAACATGATATGTACTGTCATTTTTCGATTATGCAAACTTTTTCTTTTGATTTTCATGTATTTTTTGTTTTAAATCAAAGTTTGATATGATAGAGCTAGAGTTGGTTTGGATCAAGTGTTAGAATGCCTTAGTGAAGAATTGTTTGAAATCCCTATGGAGCAAATCATTGGGAAAAATGCTTCCAGAACCAAGACCGCTGAAAAAGTGGGCTAAAAAGCACTCTATATCATGGTATGTAAATATGATAATCATTCAGTGCCATGGCATATCAAAGTATAACAGTTTATTTGTGCATTAGCATCACAGTAACATGGTACTACTACAGTACATTTCTGTAAGCATCGCAAGGGTTAATTCTGAAGTAAATAAAAAGGGCTGCTCAGGCAGATGCAGAGAAGCTGCTGTATGCTTATATGAGGGGGAGTGGGTTCACGAACTGTTTATGACTCTGTATTTAATCATTCAGATGTAAGCAGGGCTCTATCACACTCGTTTAGATGACTCTCTGCTTGCCAGCTTGAATTTTGTATATCTCTTCGCTGTTGAACAATAAAACGCCTTTCTCTCACATCTGTGAAGCAGAAATGCAGGAGAGAAGGCACAATAAGCCAACCCAAGGTTTCCTTTATCTCCAGTGTTTAGTTACACAACTGCAGAGAGGTCAGAGCCCTGAGAGACTTGAGGCCTGTGTTGAGTTTAAAAACAGTGAGAGAGCAGCAGGTTCACTCTCCAAGACCAGTCCTACCATTGCCTGCTAGGTCAATGACCTAGAGAAGGAGTGCTGAAGCAGATTTTCCGTGCAGAAGACAGTCCAAACAGTTTTAAAGGATGTAACTTTAAAATATAACGTGTTGCATATTTGCATTAAATAGCTAATATGTTAAAGGGGTCATATGATGTTGCTAAAAAGAACATTATTTTGTGTATTTGGTGTAATGAAATGTGTTCAAAAAACACATTATTTTCCACGTACTGTACATTATTGTTTCTCAACTTTTATAAAGAATATCTCTTTGGATTTGAGACTTTAGTCTTTGAAACTTTACAGATCTTCTTTATGCACCAAGAGCTTGTAACACTTCAAAGAGAAAGGAAAAATTGAAATCGCATCATATGACCCCTTTAAATATGTGAAAAATATTATGTTATTTACTATTTGTTAGTTTATTAGTTCTCACCTTCAGATGATATTCTTTTCCAGTACAGTAATGCTGTGCTTGGTCTGCAGGTTTTTTTTCTTTATAATCCAAAGTTGAGTTGAACAAGTTAATTGCTTAAAAAACATACCACATTACTCATTCACAACTTCCAAACCAATTAATTACGCATTCATAACCAATTGCTCATTCAATAACAGTGTTATTTTAGTATCAAGATACTGTTATAGTTTTTATTGATATTTTGCATTAGTTTTTATTTTTAGATTCCCCATTTTCATTTACATTTTAAAGTTTTAGTAATTTGTTTTCATCATTTTTATTCTTTTTTAGTTGTTTTAATATATGTTTATTTAGTTTATATTAATTTAGTATATTAAGTTAAACTAAATGAAATGAGAAATGCTGCCTTTACAAATAGCTTGAAATAATATTAACTTTAGTATGTACAAATTTTATAAAAAAATTATTATATATTTTATATATTATGTATTTAATACATTTTTATGGTACATATAAACATCTGACCCATTACTTGTGTAGTGCACAAGCCAAGAAACAGCATAAAGTAAAATGTATCACATAGAGCTGCTCAGAGAACGCCAAGTGGCTAAGCCCGAGGCCTTGCTGGACCATAATCCATCCCTGCATACATCAGCCTGACAGATCTTTTCATCAAGTTACTTAGCAACTTCTACTGCACTTACAAAAACCAATGAGGTCATCTCTCCTCTCATCATTTCATTTAGCATCCCTGTGCAGGCATGAGCTTACACTGTGTGCGGAAAATGAGATGTAAATTACTACTGAGTTCATATCAAATCCCTGTTCAGCAACAAGCAAAAGATGAGAGTGTGTAAAAAGGCATACATTAAATTGGCACACTTGGCGCCTGAAGTGAAAAGACATGACTGAAGAGGAAAAAATTTAATTATATATATATATATGATTGGCTGAGAGCCTTTTCCAGTGGTGTGATATTCTAGTGATAACAGAGCTCCAACTGTTTCACTGTTTGTATCACTCCAGCAGGCTATGGTTTAAAAAATATTTGATCGATAAAAAACATTTATTATATTAAAAAAATTGTTTCTGACCCTCACCAACATCATATTTCTTGGTCAGGAAGAAATAAGATGTTTGTATCACTACCTCCAAAACTGCATAAAGGGGGTCAAAATGGGGAATTTTCTAGTATTTTTGTTGTTTTAATCAATAATCCTTATGTTAAATTTTAACTTACCTTATAAACTAGGAGTACTCTGTGTCATATATTGCATAAGATTTGTATTCAGAAGTTTTATTCAGAAGTTTTTTATTCAAGAAATTACATTTATGGACTTTTTAAAGTTTCTCATGGGAAAATTTTCGAATATTTATCAAATATCAAATTGAAAAATTTATAAGTTATAACTTTTTTATTATTGTTATTTTCATTGTTATTGTTTATTTATTTATTTTTTATTGTGAAGATAATATTGTTAAATTGATGTACAATTCACTGAAGTATTATTGTTATTGAGATTATTTGACATTTTATTACTTATGAGTTTGCGATGATTATAGCCTTTGATGCCAATATGGCATTCAATTATTACTTTTATATAATAAATTATTTTGTTACGCATTTATATTTCGTACCACTTTATTTATTCCTTTTGTAAGCACAAAACCCTTGCAAAATATACCCTTCAGTGTGATACAAGATCATTATTCACTCTTGGTAATCATTAAGTTATTAATATGGTTGTATGGTTTTGCAAAATCATACTGGAATATCATTGTCTTGTGCATAATCACCTACGAACACCCATTTAATGTGGACTGTATGTCTCAGGAACCCCAAAGCTTTAACTACAGAGTGAGTCAGTATCCTAAAAACCCATGATCACCTCTTTCTGTGGCTGCTTAATCATTAATGAGTTCAGAGAGCGCTGTACTTTATAGCCTAATAACCCTCAGAGACATGAGACAGAGCCGAGATAGTGACAGGCTACCTGAGGGAGGACAGTGTAAATTATATTTGCACTGTATGTATTGTACTCCTCAAAACACCCTGAGCACACTCATTATGCTTCTGTCAAATATCAAAGCTCACACTGCTGTGAAACTGCGTGAAGCGGCTGGTTTAAACATGACTCTGAACGCTGAGTTCCTCGCTGGTTTTCGGGAGACCTTCACTTGTTTATTTAGCAAATACACAGTGTCTTTCTCACACACACATGCACAAGGCCTCTGGGATGACAATCCGAATCATGTTGTGAATGTCATATTGATTAGTTAATTAGCAGTGCAGTTGAGCAGACAGAGGGTGTGTGTGTGTGTGTGTGTGTGTAGACATGACAGGAGTGTCTTGAGTAAATGTACTACTGTAATGTCAGTTTGTAAAGGTCTAATGGTAGTCATTCTGCTCTCAGTGCTCAATTGCATATTCACTACATGGCTAACAGTATGTTGACATCCCCTTCTAATTGACACGTTCGGCTAGGCCCTCAATTCCAGTGCAGACAGATTCAAATGTTACAGCATGAAATTATATTCTAGAGAATTTTATGCTTCATGGACTTGAATGGGATCTAATCTCTTCACCCATGTTACAAAATCTATTGGAAAAGAAGGATTATGAGTGTGAACTCCCTATTAATAATATTTGCATATTGCACAGGGCTGTATTTGTTTAAATATTGTGGACTTTTATTAAAATTTCACATGACAGTTTTCTATTATAATATATCTGTTTCTATTTTAATATATTTAAAAATTTATTCCTTTGGCAAAGCTGAATTTTCAACATCATGACTTCAGTCTTCAGTGTCACATGATCCTTCAGAAATCATTCTAATATGCTGATTTGCTGCACAAGAAACATTTCTTATTATTATCAATGTTGAAAACAGTTGTGATGGTTAACATTTTGGAAACCGTGTTAATTTTCCAGGATTCTTTAATGAATAGCAAGTTCAAAAGAACATCATTTATTTGAAATAGATTGTAACAAAGTAAAAGCCTTTAGTCACTTTTGATCAATTTGATGCATTCTTGCTGAATAAAAGTATTCATTTCTAAAAGAAAAATCCAAACTTTTAAACAGTAGTGTATAGTGTTGATTAAGTAATGCATTGCTTTCCATAAAAAGTAATTAAGTAATTAGTTACTTTTTTTAGGGAGTAACGCA